TATTCCTTCCTTCAACATTCCGTACACTTCTAGACCCTCCTTATCCTTGGATTCTTTCCTTAGATTCTGTTCTTCTCTCTCGGCACAAGCAACAGATATCTTCTCCTTGAACCCCTGTAGACCCTCCGTTTCCAGCGTTTCATCTTCGTCGATGTCAAGCCCCTTCCATACGTCCTCTACAACCTTGACCCATTCCGTGGATTGTCTACCCCTCTTTTTGTTTGCCCACTTCGCCTCCCATACAATCCTCGGCAACCTCTCCTCTCCCATCCCGCACATGCGATACTGTAATGTCAGCTTCCTCGCGTCTCTTCCCGACCGTAGGGATTGGATCCCCACACCGGGGGTGGCTTGTTTTACAACGTCGTTGCCACGCGACGAAAACCCAACCCCGATGGCAAACACCGAGGAGGGGAGGAGGGGGGGGTTACGGGAATACATGTAAACCCTGTTCGTAGTCAATCGACCGTTGACCTAGGGTGGCGGCAGGGGAGGGGGTTCGGTGGGGCATGGGGACTCATGCAAGTGCATGCTGTAGACATTAGACCATTGACCTCGCATCTTCGAGAGGGGGGAGGGGTGGGGAGGATATCCTCCGGAAAGACACTTACCGCCGGGCTGTGAAAAAAGCGCCGCAACTTCATGCGTGGGCGAGAAGAGCTCCGGTGGCGTGAGGAGCTGGCTGGCTGCCTACTCGAAGAAGAAATGAAAGTTTATCAATAATTTAAAGCAGAGAATCGGGGTTACGTTGTCCCTACCAATCCGTACCCGAACCCCCCGAACTTGCCGCGATTCCATACTTTTATCAAATATGTTTGCTCAATAAAACCTGCGTAGGATACTGGGAGCACCTTCGCCATGGAACCCTAAGAAACGCGCCCGCACGAAGATTTTGGGTGCATAGCCTACACAAACTCAAAATCGAAAAACTTGAGCACCACTTGTGAGCTCGGTTAAGAACCCCTACACTGATACCTATACAGCGGTCATTCGTAGGACGACCCCAGGAACTAAGAACCCAGCTTCAGTCAAAACTAGTTGGAGGTTCTGAAGTGTGGGCGCGTTCTGTACATACGGCATCAACATCTTACCATCGGGAATACGGCTCCCGTTGATCAAGAAGCGGCTGAACAAGGCAAAGACCAGCACCATCGATCCCCCCAAAAGGTTGGAGAGGTCGAGGGGCAGGCCAAGGGCTCCGATGCCCATCGCCGCCAGGGCCACGGCCACGTTAGCTAGCACCTGACCAATGAAGAAAAAAACAACAACATGAAAGTCTCGGAAAAACAGAAAAACACGACAGGCTCCAGCATGCGAAATCCACCGCGAGTAGATCGTACATAAAGAAGTAAATAAACAAGTACCGTTGAAATAGACACAGCTGGCTCCAGCCGGCGAAATCGAGGTGAAGAACGCAAGTACATCGAAAACAAAAAACAAAAAAAACATGCAAGTCTCGTGAAAATAGGAGAACACAGCAGGCTCCAGCAAGGCAAAACAATCGAGGCGAACAACGCGAGTAGCGACGGGGCACGGCGGTGGATACGACAGCAGTGAAGAAGTCTCATAAACAAAGACGGGCAGCAGACTACAGCAGTGCGAGGGAAGAGTATCTCCCCGTACAGCAGTTAACGCAGTTCATGGGTTACAAAAAAAAAAAAACTTGAGTACTGATGTAGACTATTTAACACAGCGAGACAAAAACGATCGCATCCATATCTACTCGCCCCGCCCCTGGTGTGCATGTGGCCAACCACACACAGCACGGCCCTTGCTAATTGCCGCGAACATCCTCTCCCCTGCAACCTAACAACCCCTCTACCTGCGTCGGCTATTACAGATGAACTGACACTATCCACCATTGTCTCCCATCGGGGCAAGGGCGCCCCCCCCCCCCCCCCCCCCCCCCCCCCCCCCCCCCCCCCCCCCCNCCCCCCGTATGGAAACATTTTTTACCACGTTGGAGAAAGCAAGAAGGAACGAGTAGCCATCGGTGAGGTCGGTCCGGTGGGAACAATGCCCCGTTCTCTCGTGGTCAATGGTCTAACCGCTAAGGCACGCGAAACACGAGAATAACCCGCCCGTTTCTCACCAAAATAACGGAGAACCAAAAGAGAGTCCACTTCCCGTCTCCGTAGTCGTTGAGGCCCATGAGCGGGTACGCCAGCACCGCGAACGCCAGCGGCGGGACCACCCGCACCAGCAGGACATCGGCCAGGGCTACGGACAGGAAATAGGGGAGGTGGCCGTACGCTCCCCCCATGGACTCGGAGAGGAAGAGTCTTCGGTCTTCCCGCCACACCGGCAGCGACGTGAGCGAAAGAAGGGAGAGGTACAGGAGCAGGAAGAACAGGACTCCGAACCTGTACCGCATGGGGGGGAGCGCCGTGGGACGCGAGGGGGCGGGGGGGGGGCGAGTGAGTCGGATCGCCTTCGCGAGGATAACAATCTATGAAAGAGAGGAGGGGGGGTTCGTATCCCTATCCGTAACCCTAAATCCTACACCGTACCCCCTACTAACAACCAAGAGTATAATATTCGCGAAGGCTACCGAGCAAGTGTTTCATACACGGTATCCCTCAAGACCGCGCAATTCACTGGAGGTTGAGAGCGCCTACTGCGGCTAGACTAGCACCAGCGGCACACACACACCTGCTCTGCGCCCCGTCCAGCGTGAACCCCAACTTCCCCTGGAAGATGGTGCCGAGGCACACCGCCATGGCCACGGCCCCGCCGAAGTGGAGCAGCAGCAACAGCGGGTGCCTCACCGCGCGCAGCAAGAGCCTCCTGCACAGCGCCTCCGTCTGGACCAGGAAGCCCGCGGTGAGGGAGCGCCGCCGCCTGTCCTTACCCTCCGAGCAGCAATCCAGCCACGGTGCCTCCTCTTCCTCTTCCTCATCGTCCTGGTGCCCCCCCACTCCGGCCACGCTCTGCGCCTCCATGTCTCTGTGCTGGCTACCGTCCCGACGTAAAGACTGCCGGCTGGAGGACATCCCGCTCCCGGGCTCCTCTGTACCACCACCACCACCGTCGCCGGCCCTAAGGAACGCTGCGGTCGCCGCCGACGGCACGCAGTAGACACCGTTCTCCACGAAGGCGCACCGCTCGAACAGGGCCGGGAGAGCCCCGCCGTCCTCCCTGCAGCAGAGCGTGAGCATGGCGTCGGCCGGGTGGGGCTGCTCCGCGGGGAACGGCCGCCCCACCGACGAGAAGTAGGACTCGGACCCCTGCGGGCTGCCGAAGTAGGCCACCTTGCCGCGGGACAGGAGCATGACGTTGTCCAGGAGGTTGAGCACACGGGGACGCGGCTGGTGGAGGCTGCACAATACTGTAGTGCCCCGGGAGGCGACCCCCTTAAGGAGTACCATCACCCTAAGGGCAGTGGCGGCATCTGTGTTGTAATATAAAGTGCAAGGAGAAGGGCAGGGGTGGTGGTGTTGTGGTGTTGGACAAGATGTTGGGGGG